CGCCTTGGTGAGATTTGAACCCATGCATGGACGCCACCTGCGCTTTTGTTCAGTGCAAGCTCTATCAGCTGGGCTATGAGACTATCGGTGTGGCCCCGTAGCTGCGCTGGTACAGCGTGCACTGCACAAACGCGAAGGCAACGTCCATGCATGGGTGTGAATCCCATCGAGGTTTCTGAAGTTTTTCACAATCCGAATTTAAAACTTGAATCTGCCAAACAACCATTTGCACCTTTAATATTGTCGGAAAGAGAAAGTTTCATCGCACTTTCAATGATAATTTTAATCAGAAGTCTGTAACTAATCACTTCTTTCATCATTTACAGTGTATCAAATGTAAGGGAAACAAATCTTCGATTCAACACTTGGCTGTGCTATTCTTCCTTTTTTCTACCTGTATCCATTTCATGGTTTAATATGCAATAGGTGTTGAATATGGCTTGAATTTTTCAAATTAATTCATGTGCCCCAAATTCGCGTACCACGGTTCACATCTCTCAGATTGCAACCTTGGTTTACAGAATTATTATTTTCTTTGCTAAATAGTCTCAAATACCGGGATGTAATGTACTCTGACCAGCTTGTTGATGTCAAAGCAGAGTACATTGCCTGAAAGACTCAGTCACCATTTTCTATGATCTCCTCAGGTTGACAAGAGATTTCTCAAAGTTAGCAATTTCATTTGTTACCTCATCTGTTTGAAAGAACTACACACATCAATGCACTTAAATAGAATTGTCGTCTACTATTTCATCCCTCTCCAATGGCTTTACGGTTCTGCAGTTTGCCTGTCCTTAAACTCCGAAGTCAAAAGTTAATCCATCAAACACTTATGTTTATACGTGGAATACCTTGCGCACATCTGGTGAAGTATTTTTGATCATTCAAACAGTTTACTGCTTTCCGGGATGATGTTGGCCCGAACTCGCTTTCTTTACTCACGTTTTAACATCTATCTATTTCCACCTACATAGTTTCCTTAAAACAGTACCCCAAGCGATCTCTTGGTGACGCTGATCTTATCATTGAAACCCAAACCTTGCTGAATGTGTTCACTCTTTCTTGTTTGCTGTAAGTTTTCATCTGTTTATGGTCTGTGCTGTGAAGCTTTATTGTAGAGTGATCATGTAGCAACCGAATATTCATCCTGAATAGGGTGAATTGAATTGATTGGGCAAACCTCGGAGATCGTGCTTCGGAACGTCAACTCTGTCCATCAATTCTCTATTGTGTTCGTATCATTAAACAACTGTTGTTTTTTGCGACCGCTTTAGTCTGCCTGCAGTAGGTTCAACTAAGAAGTATTAGATAAAACAAAGAAGAACGGTCAAACAAATCATGCTGCAGTTCAGATATTCTCAATGAATTGGTATATATATGGCGCAATCAATATTTAAATAGGCTTAACAACAAAAGAAGAAAAGATGTTGAAAAAGTCTAAAATGCACGGTTTATTGAGATGAATGATTGACGTGACGGCACATTGATCATCAATTCTAGATAAATTAAATAGATATTTAGAAGAGAACACAGAAACCGATCAACGTGAATCAAGGCAATATAACATATTATAAGATGAATAGTCTCCTACAAGTATTTTACTAGCCGTGCTGCACTCGGAAATAACATGCAAATTCCTGAGTTCGAAACTGTAAAAAAACAAAAAATTAAAATTATTCCATATCTGTGTGTTTGCTTTTGTCAGTAAGAATTTGAGGTCCTGCAATTGATATTCCTCATTTGTAGTCCAAAGTTCCGTAGAATTACCTGTTCAAAGATTCATCTGCACCTGCCCTGATTGTTCGCGTGATCGATTAAAGAAATGTCTGGAGCGCACCTGGAACGTAAATTGAACTTCAAATAGAAAACAAAAATCTGCTTATAGGGAGTAAAATTGTATGGAAACTGGAGGGCGTTAAAGAATATTGTAGCACATTTAGGTTGGCATTTTCAGTCATTATTTTAGCTGCAGAGATGAGAGCGATGAGACAAAACCGCTCCGCAAGAACAGTTGAGGACCAGGATTCAGAGATTGGAGTAATTTTATGAAATGGCTGTTTGGCAGGTTGAAGTCTTACTTTGAACAAATAAACTTGGCTTAGAAGTGTATTTTGTGGACGTTGGAGAATTCTAAGTAAAACCTATCGTTGCAGTCTGCTCACATGGTATCTGGATGCTGTATGCCGCTGTAGGTTGGATAGGTGATTGGAATTTGAAAGGATCAATGCATTTCGCGTAGCCTCTTGACTCAGCTGATAGGGCGTGCGCTGTACATGAGCATAGTTGGCGTCCTGGCGTGTGTTTGAACCCCACCAGTGCTTCTAAACGATTTCAGCCTAAGACTGGAGTAATGGTAACTTGTCGTGAAAATCCAGAAATCGACCAAGAAATCAAAGACTCATTGGACACAAGAGCTGCTCCAAATTTCACAAATGCTGGAGAAATACCATCAGGGTCTGCAGCTGAGGTTGCTGTGGTGGGTCGGAGAAGGCTAAAGAAATCATCAGTGTAATTCGACACGGAATCGATTCATTGCGCGGGAAGGATTGAATTTGGCTCTCATTTGACGAGTGAATGAAAGCAGTGTAAATCTGTTGATGTTCTCCAGGGTGTTCGAATCTGATCCTTCAAAAACGAAGGCAAATACCTTGACAAAAAAGCCTAGTGTACTTTGTTCGCAAAATTTGGGCAGCAAATATTGCGTTGAGGTATATTATCCCAGATCTGGTTAGGTCAGAATAGTTCTTTGCAAGTGATTCACGGTAAGGCTTGTAGGCCCTATCTTTATGCACCTTAGTGACTTCAAAAGGCGATGAGATAATTCAGCCGCCACAGACAAATATGTTTTCCATGGGGCAACACAAGTTAGAGACCGACTTCATCTTTTCAGTGAACAGACTGACACCGATGGAGAAGAATCAATCCAAGACTGAACAATCACATCAGGCGAGTTGCATTCCACATCGTTCCGATAAGCTCCCTCCAATCACCCGAAATATCACGGACGCATACTTGCCTACTTCTACTGATGAACGACTAACTCCTGCGGGAGAATAGGTTAGCTTTTCGAAAGCTTGAAAGATGGCAGCCCACGCGTGACAATCAACAGCAGGGTGACTTATTGTGATACCCACTTATGGTTCCACTTATGAATTCCATATACGGACAGGAGGCCTAGCAGTTCCGTATCCACCTTGATCGTACTGATCCAGGTCTTCAGTTTACCACCGAGTAGGCAACGCCATCCATGGCATGGTGCTGCGGTTACAACCTGCCGTGAGATTTGGGTACCGTGCCTTCAAAGCATGTGGTTGAAACACTGAAGGAATCGGCGTTTCGAAAGCATGCCGATATCCGAGTGGCACCGTCTAACCTCACCATTGGAAACCTGATCTCCCTAATTCAATTTCAATACTTTGTGTAAGCACCAGTGAGCAAATATATTGATCTTCCTTCCATATTGCACTCTTAGCGAACATGTTTCATAAACATAAGGGAGGGCTGAGCGAATCGAAGGCTGATAAACCCAAAGCCTAGTGTGTAGGCTAAGATTGCATCGGCTCCGCAGCTGTCTGACAAGTTGTTGCAAGGCACTTCTTATTCCATATACTCCATTTTGGAATTCATCCTTAGCCTGGCCGTTTGGTATGATTGTAGAACCAAAGATACTTAAAAACCGTGGCTGATTCAGACGAGCTTACATTTAATTGAGGGAGGTTGGGTCATGGCAGAAGTCTCGGTCGAAAACGTCTTGACTTTCGACGTGTTGATCTTTAGCACAATGGGTTGGGAAAGCTGAATAATCCGATGGACAACAGATTTGAAGATTGTCCGTGGTGCATTAAGAACAATGACTACATTTGGAAACTCGAGAGCTTCGATCCGAGTACATGGACCCAGCTAGACTCCGAGGTATTCGATCAACGCTCAACGCAATATTCAACCTACCTATAATTCCTTAACACCCACGATAAAGGACAATCTTTTCTGACTCTAGAGCTTAGCGCAAACTCCGTTGGTTCTTCTCCCTGAGTACGGACGATCGTCTGGGTCCTTCAGCAGTACGACTTCCAAAACCTGATGAAAATCCCGGATATCCTGTCGAATATGCAATTGGCAATATGCGCTACAAGAACCCTCTGTTGACAGGGTCAAAAGCACCGCTGAAGTCGATGAAACACGCTGCAGTATATTAATGAAATTTGCAACCTTGTTCCAAAATACTAACAAAACTGAACATTTGTTCAACATTGAATCTTTTGCAGCTAAAACCCAGTTGATTTGTCGGGGTTCGGGTATCTCTGATTGGCACTGCAAAGACATAACCGCAAAACTAGTGATGCTGATTTTCCCATTATTTTCGCGTTCAAATTACTTTTTGGAATTTTGACTGGATTGAAGTTGCTTAATATTTTGAGAATAATTCTCTTTCTCAAATGAAGTGGAAAACGAGTGCAATGAATCGATCTCAGTTGGTAAACAATCTTGTATAGTTCAAGTGTTAAACTGTCTTCTTCAGGGAGTTTTACAGTAAAGTGACTGCATTGAGGATTTATATCCTACTAGGTGAGTCGAAATTGATGTCTAAGGCTCCGAATTGCTTGACATTTGTGATATGGTCCGCGGTTAAGCAGCTCGTTAACGTTTCCAATCCATATTTGTATTTTTAATCATTTTCCTGATCGTCATAACATCCTCATAACGTTGGTTCCTATGTTTGTCTCTCTCCCGATTATATGAAATAGCCTTGCGAAGTCCCCTGAGACGTTTGCAACCTCCCTTCCATTCACAGGCGCCATCCAGTATTTTTTGCCGTTTCACCTAGTGGAACTTGTAGCTTGACGACACAGACCATGGAATTCACGAGAAGTAATCGGCCGCACCTCTCTCGTTTTCGTGGACAAATGCGGCGCACCCTCGGAGATCCAGTTGATTTTGTGTTTAAGATTCATAACCAATATTTCCAAGGCCGCTTCTCTGATCGAGTTTTTTAGCGTAGATCACATCGTGTCAAGGCGTGCGTCCTCCAGAGTATTACCGACTGTGTTAGAAGCGGTTGTGTCCACCAGGGCGCGTGCAAGGCAATGATCCACACCGTTTGTAAATTCCAAAACGACTCGTTCTGGCTCGACCGTAGCCCTAGTATAATCGACTATCCTACGATCGTTCTGTATAGCGTCAATGAGATCGTTGAGCAACGCGTAGCGAGATGCGAACCGCGAAGTTAGAACGATATTCATCCGCAATGCGTAGGGTACTGTTTATCTCATTAGGCGAGTCAAAAAACAACGTACCTCAACAATGCGACTCAGTTGCTATACAGCCAAAAAGGTGAGTTCAAACAAATGGGTAGAGACCTGTTAGGTCAAGCAGGGGATTCCGTTAATCAAACGTGAGCAGCCAAGATGAATTCAAACAGATCGACAATGATCTGTTTGCCACAGGGAGAAATTCTCTTCACCAAACGTGAACAGCCAGTGATCGAAGTCAGGTATGCAATGGCAAAGAGCATGACAACGAATGAGGCCATAAGGCCAGTGATGGGCCATATAGGGATTAGGGCGGTTATGGATCGGGGCAATGACACACCAAAGCCACGTTAGTGCAGAGTACAATGACACGGGTAGGATCGATAGGCAGACACACAAGATCACACGAGAATCCGTCATCAAAAAACCATAGACAATGACTAACACGAGGGATCACGCGGTGATCGAGGTCAAATCAAGAATGGCTAAAGAGAACTTGTGCGCACAGGATCGGAAAGGGGTAATTAGAAGGGGGAACAAAAGTGGTCTCGCCTTGGACCGAGAAGAGGGATTTTCGTCACTCTGTGGCTTCTACGCCGTTTGTGTTTCCGCTTTGTGGGTCTCGATAAGAAGAGGCTCAGCGAGAATACAGTAAAATGTAATTAACGTGGCTTACCTTTTGACCATCGTTCGCTTATCAAGTCAGTGAATGTTTTCTGGGGTGCTGGAAAAGGTGTTTGGCCATGCCCAGCCGGTTAAGTTCAGCAAAAGTGACTAGACGTTCGTCGTTTACAGCCTTGACCAAGATCGAACTCTCCCAGAACATGCCTAATATGCTCGTCTTATGGACCAATGTATGCATTTCTGTCCCGTTTTCTAAGAAGAATATCGCGTCTGGGACTGCGATTGATTGCGGCTTGAACTGGGTTATAGAAGTTATAGAAGTTATATAGAAGTTATAGAAGTCTTTGATGGGTGCTCTCGGATGTAACGTTGGAGCACAGACAGCGATGACATTCAGGTTAAGCGGCTTACACCTGAAGAGCGGTGGCAATTCTGGGAGAGAATGGTTCCCAGGAGATCATGGCCTTGTTGGCTCGGTTATTCAGGGTGATTGCTTCTTCTTGCAAAGCGGAGTTGTTAGTTTGCCCATTGTGATATAAGCCGTAGGTTTGGTTGAGTGTTTTTGTGCCACAGTTAGACCATCGGACTACGGACAGATATCTACTTTGTAGTCGTGCAGTTACCGTCTTGTATTGCAATGGCTTTCTATGTCTAAAAGTGTTCTAAAATTCCAGCAAGCTACGTGGATGCTGAATCCGGTGTACAAGGCGTTTTGAGTACCCATGTTGCTCACTGATCACTCCAACCACTGGGAGAATGTAATTCAAATCGCTTCCCGGGAACATCGTATCGTGAGCGTGATATAACATTATATGATAAGCCAAGAAGAAAATTGTAAATGCTTTAATTAGGGAAATTCCCATCTTCGATCGGTTTTTGCTCGAGGGTATACTTCTTACTGTTGGTCAACGAAATGCAACCTGTAGGGTAACAGGGTATAATAGTTGGCAGGTGGTGACCGGTTGGACCGGTCCATATGCCCTTCAGATGACTCAGCGCCATTTAAGGATCCCAGCGTGTCCTTCAGATATGAAAGTCGCTAGATAATAGTTATATTTCCCATTGCATACTATTTAGGATACTGTTTTGAGCATTTCATCAGCTCTGAGAATCAATCGATCACTCTGCTGATCAATGCACACACTTTATGAATACGACTCATTGGAAGATCCAAACAGCTGATTAAACCCCCGATACAATGAACCAGTTCCGGAACCGCCAAAAACAACTTCACACTTCTGATTTGTTTCCTAGTTCTCATTTATCTACATGTAAATTAAATACTCCAGGAAGCAATTTACTTTGGCTTCTGCTTCCCTGGGTTGCGCTCATCGATCACTGCAAGCTGACAAAATGCGCTGGAATTTCGCTAAACTGACAGCAGTTTATTTCACCACCAAGCACCGCGTTAGACACTTTGGAGTCAGTATACAGTCTGTGGAGTTCAACAGACGTTCACGCATGAATAAACGGCGTGTAACAGTGTGCTGAGTTCATTCGAGGTTTACAGTTTGTCACTGAAACGAGACCGGAGCATACTGTTCAGCAACACAAAATACAAGTCCATTACTTGTTGAGGTACGTTGGTCGTACAAAATAACTGGATGCAGACCGCAGGAGACAGTGTCGACCAGGGTTAAATCGATCGATCCGGTTATGCCGAAGACAGTGAGGTGCTATATTAGGTTTTAAAGGTGAGCGGGGGGGAACGTAGCGTAGACTAATATGTGTACTTTACACCCAAAAAAAATAAAAGTAGAAAAAAATAAAAACATATGAAGAGTAGATAGAAAATCAATGTGACGCAGCGTCGATCAGACGCATGCTGCTTCAAATTAGCCAGAGGTAACTATTGACTTCTGTACGGTCCACGCTATGGCAGAAGAAATTTGTATGGAACATTGTGCACTGATCGAATGCTTTTATAGTATCACTAGTAACAACTGTTGTCGCGTAGTAGATGCTGGTTTTGTAGAGCACGCATCAGAAACCGTGAATCGGCAGTTCTCAGGTATATCGAAAGAGGGGTTGATATAATCGACAGACTGTCTGTTTGCAATATGTTTATAACTGAAACAATGATGGTTAGAAAACTCACCGACTATGCAAAAATGGGGGCAATCAGATTGATATTTTCTATGAGACTGTTTTACAGGCTTTAAGGTAATGTGCCACCACATGGTGTTCCCGTGGTATATGCCTACATACTAAATACAACTTACGAGTTGCACACATGAGTTTGTGGTCCTAGTACAAAGTCCCATAAGATAACAGAGGAATCATAAAACCAGTGGGGAAAAACTACGGCAAAGACAAAACGCCTTAAAAATGAATTGGGATAAAATGTGACTTAAGACATAAAACGCCAAAGATAAGCCGTCTGATGTTATTGACGTGGTCAGACCAGATGAGGTTAGGGTTAAAATAATACCAAGATAGCTGACAGATATGTGTCCATATATATCTGGTCATTTAAAACAGATGAAGGAGACGGGCGTTTGACAGTTCACCATAGTTCTGACCTTTCCAAAGAGAAAAAATTACGTCGTTAGATTTTTGCGGTTCATACGGAGATTCATTTGTTGAGGCCACTCCAATATTTCGGTTACGTCATCTTGTAGTGTGGTCTAACTCAGGTCAAGTGAGAAAACGCTGTATGGACCCATAGGGTGACCTTTTAGCAGTTTACGATTTTTACAGTGAATAGATAAAACCAATTGCAATCAAAGAAAAACAATATAAGAAATTCTACACTTAAATAAATGAGAGAAAAATTAGTGAAAGTTTTCTTCGATGAGTTTGGTGAGATTGTTCTGACGATTAAGCAGTAACCCAGCAAGATATTGAATTACAATGTTTCTATATGTGCAAGTAAGAGCAGGAAGGAGTTGATAGTTGGAACGAGTTCTGGGATTTGTCAGGGCCTTTGCGATATCTTAGTGAAGACAGTGCCCTTGATAACGTGTTATCCTGTCTATGAATGTACCACAAACGTAAAGATGCTTGGAAATGAAGGGAGCCACTAAACAACTCCATCAAATTCCCTGTAGGGGGACAATAATTTGAGGGATCTCAAAAATGAAATGAAATCTTTTTTTCGGTCCAGGGATAAAAATCGGGAAGTAGTATAACCACTGTGGAAGATTGCAGGCAATCAAAAATTTAGAGATAATATTATAAGGATGTCCGGTTTCATGAGCCTGTGAGCATAAAAAGACAGCTTTTGAACTTTTGTGAAAACGTTCATGAGAAGAACAGACCAGGACACGTTATGGGTTAGGGTTACACCAAGGTATATACCAGATACATATTTTGGAGTGTTTTGATTTTTACCTTTAAGGTAAGGGAGGTTATGAATTAATTAAAGATAACGGGACCGGTTTTAAGACTAAATGGAACTACAATTTGCTTACTGATGTTAAGTACAGAATCGGATCAAAAACCAATCGTGAATTTCACTAAGACTGTCCTGGAGAGGCTGTATGAAATATGGGATGGGCAAACACTTACAATATCATCCGCATACTTACAAGCAATAAAGCTGGTGGGATTGGGGTTTTTGGTTACACATAGAAAACAAGAAAGGAGACAAAATAGAAACCTGAAAAACACGGACTTCAATGTTAATGGAAAAAGACGGTACCCCATTCAGTGGGGTTCTACGGGAGAAGTAGTCAATTAGTCCATTCAGGACTCCCGGAATTAGACAACACTCAGAAAGACGTTCAATAGGCGCAATTCGGTAGAGAGAACCAAAGTGTTTGTATAATCAAGAAAAGTTAAACGAGTTGAACCGGCACCATTGTCTTAGACGGAAGCAATAAAATGAAAATAATGAGCAAGGGCATCAAGTGTGAGCAGACGGGGTATATAAGGAAATTGTAAAGGGTCATGGGAGTTACAATAGGGTATCATTCGGCGCAGCAAAACATTTTCAAAAGCCTTCAGTAACTCAAATGTGCTGGCAATGGGACGGTACTTTAACGATCCTTTCTTCGGGGGTGATCTGATCCGGGCTGACCTACAATAACTGGGGATCTTTCCGGATGACAAACAGCCACTGAACAATTAGGTAATGGGTGCTGCAAGCTGCTCGGCACAAGCTTTCAACAAATCAGGTTATAATGCATCGGGACCATGAGCTCTGTTGGCCTTGAGTCTCCCAAAGCGTGGAGAACCTCGTCCGGAGTAACTAGGTTTGTTGCCTCATCGGTAGGAAAACGAAGTGGGGGGGGGGAGTTAGAGGTAGGTACAGAAGCAAAGTGACGGTTAATTACCTCAACGTTTGGACAGTGACTGGTGCGTGAGCCACAGAGTTTCCGTACAGTATTTCACACCTCACAACAGCTTTTATTGCCCAAAATAGTCTCAACGTACATTCCGTTCAGGCATCTTACTTCAGCTCTAATCAGCATATAGGGTTCTTTAGCACTGTTACACCCGCCGGCCGTTTAAGCCGTATCTTTAGCACGACAGTGTCGCTCAAGGAGTGGTGAGAGAAACCTATCGGTTCCAATATAAATTGTTCCAACATTACTAAAAGCAGAAATTAAGATAATCAGTAAATGTTCGCAAGACAAAGACAGCTGATTATTGGAGAACACAGAAACGTCAGTAGAAGAAACTAAGTCCCACAATTTGGGCAAGTCATCCGGAGAACGATTTTTTTCCGTAGAGTACGGAAGACAGGTTGGGTATGAAGAATGGTTAGTTTTGCAGTAAATCTTGGGGTAAAGAAGAATGGTACAGTGGTCAGAAGTGCTAAATGGAGCTCATTCAAAAACATGGAGCAGTTACATAAATCCCATCAAGAAAGACATCGGTTGGGGTTGGAAATTTGACAGGGTTCACTGAGGATAGATTATTTAGAGAAGAGGTATCAAATCGATTAAAGTCTCCCGCGGTAATACTCGAAGATTGATCAACACCAGTGGCGAATTATGTTACTATAGTATCAACAAATCGTTTTACGTTAGGGGCCAGTGTATCTGAGGATATACAGTACTGGCTGATTGTGATGCACTGAAGTATTTTCTTTATTATCAAATGGAGTTTCATTATATTTATCACCTGTATTAATGCTTTAGGTATGGGCAATAATTTTTATCTTGTCTACTGAGAAAGCGGGGCTTGCAGATAACAAAATTACAATAAATTTTGCCTGCTTAGTGGGAAAAAATCTAACGAGAGGTCTTATATTAACTTCGATCCACGAAAGTGATCACTTCGCCACCTCTTTTGCGAAATTTCATAATCCGGTAGCTCATGAAACTGTCAAAGCTGTCCAATCCGATCACATCATCCTCAATATCTGGTTGGAACCAGCTTTCCCCGAGTAAAATGACTCCCACATTGTTACATTCGTTCCGGTGCGCCACATTCTGGACTTCATCGATTTCTCCCACAAGTGAGCGAATGCTACTCGAATAAATGGATGGAATCGTCATACTGTTGGTAGAACTTCACCTGAGAGCAAGCTACCAGCCAGCGCGATGCTTATTATGGTGACTTGGACGTTTATTTCTGAACCGTTTGTAAAGATTCCTCGTGAAATGAGCTGACGCTGAAAGTCCGACGTCATTCATGAAAACACTAAGAGATTTACTAATGGGGGAATTGTAGGTCAGCATTTGATCTTGAAAAATTGATGAATTGGTGTAAACGTGCACAGTCAAGTGTATCCACTGCAAAAAATGTAAATAGTTGTCCAATTTCGAAAAGTACGGGAAAAGTCAAAGGCCCCGCCAACGCTCTGAGATGATGGGTTGGGGTAGGGCGCCTCATACACTCAATAAGAAGAAAAAGTTACTCACAAGCATAGCGGAAAGGTAAACCGAAATTAAAGTGGCATAAAATAGCACCTCAAATTACAACCTGTGGGGAAGGTAGCGTAAATTGTACGACATTTGTGGTGTAAATTGCTGATGACTGGAGAAATATTTGATCAATATTTCATTCGTTGAAGAAAGAGTGCCTCCTTAAAAAAGAGATTTTAGCAATATATGCCTCTCAATCGTGCTGAAGACATCAAGATAGTTTATAAAGCTTATGCGGCTAATCTTACGTTCTTATTAAAGATAGACAAAACAAAGCGGTATTCGATCAGAAACAGATAAGGAAGATTTTGCAAACCTCAATTCAGATGTGCATCAAATCCGGTGGGAAAGGTGACAATGATGCGAAAACCTAAATTGGTTAAGAACTGAATATATATATTTATGTAGAAATAGCTGCATTTCCCTCGAAGGTCTCTAGCGCTTCATCGTATCACGACAAATAAAAGTCATGTTTCTCTTTGCCCATGAAAATCACGAACAACCCTTCCCGTCCGTTACACACAGATTTTATAAAGCGTGTTTTCTTTTTCTTTCACTCGATTCCACTATAATTGTATGTTTGATTGCAAAACCCCCCACCGGTCTTCTGTGGTACCTCAACTTGCAGGATTTTTTTAACCCAGAACGCATCGCTCCTGAACTAAACTGAATCATATGGTGAATTATTTTGTTTTATTCTTGCTTTCCAAAATTCAGGCACACTTTTCTTCCTTGTTGGTTCCACGTTTTCTATGTGGCACCTGAATATTCACCTAGCGGGATGCATAAAGCAAGTACTTGATTTGACTTCTCGTGACATGTTTCTGTTTGAATTCTGGACCATCTACCTAGGCGAAACGGAGCGGAAAATCTTTCTACGAATAGTTAAACATGTCCCGCGGTGGCCGTACACGTTTATCAACCAATGGACCTGGGTCAAAAGTTACGGACACGCTAGCAACCAGCGTCTTCCAGTGCAAGCCATTCGCTGGAGACAAAGCAACACTTCAAATGAACTGCTACGCTCTGAATGATCCTATCGATTCAGGTTTGTTGTAACCTGCTGATGCCGTTGCCACTCAAAAACGGAGTTATTTGGTACCCGGGCATTGTCTTGCTAATACTGGCAACGTCCAACCTAATAAAGGTACTTTCATCAGTTTTTGTGCATCTTCCATGTCATATTCGCTGGGGATTGCACCGGAGAAGAAACGCAAAATACATCCGGACACAAACTGTACAAAGTAAATCTAATGTCCAGTATTTTCAAGCTAATTGTGAAAACCGGGGTCACCTCAACAACAAAAAACAAACAGAACTGTTTGGATAGTTTCATATTTTTATCCTTAAACCACTCGACGCATCCGTTAGGGATAGTTGGTGAGAAGACCAGGAAATCACGAAAACTGTGCTGAATCCCCAAATGGGCTTCAAATATCAAATTCTTTTACGCCCACAAGCAGACACAGTAGTTATCCTTATCTCCCCCGTTCTCTCATTTGGTCGTACTAAAATTGCCATTTGCCGTATACAGTTTGGTTATAGTGTTGATTCCGTAACCGAAAATTTCAGAAAACATTCGGGGTTCAGTTGTGCAATTTCATTCATTCAATCATCATCATCATCATCATTGTAGAATACCAAGTTTGGATTATCCCATTTGATTTTTCATAGGCACCAGGCACTCTTGATTGTTTTCAAACGCCAAGCTCAGCGAACATAAGACCCCACAAACTCTTGATTGTCTTGCGTGTGGGTTTAACTCCCTGGGAGATTGGTAATTTACCACTAGTTGAATGTATTTAATTACGTTGGAAATGTTTGTGATGATAATCGACAAAGAGTAGTGGACAGGTGTTTCGTCGTGTTTGGGTGTATAGAACAATGATTCACAAAACTACGGAACACCAATATTTCAACATTTTCTATTCAGAGACGATTTCCTTGTACATAAATATGATCCCCAAGGTTTTGCACTGCTCCAATACCACAATCGTTGAGGGATGGTCAAATTAGGTGCACTTTACTTCTCAGCTGTTCCTTTAAATCTTTCCTTTCTTCTTACATGATGAAATTTGCCGTATTAAGTAAATTGGGTCCATCGGGATTGTTATCCAGTTGGTGTGAATTGCAATAACGCTCTCTTTCTCTCGCTCTACATCGAATAACGGAAAAGGATTTGGAGAAGCACATGCGTCAGAGCATATTTTCCATGTCTCATCGATAGTGCATTCAAGATGAAAAGACTTCTTGAAACCAAACTGATTAAAGAGTCTTCATATTTATTAGTTTTTTTGCTTACTTTAGAAATGATTGTTGCCCCTCAAATCGAACTGAAACTATCCCAATATATTTTTTCGCTTTGAAAAACGCAATCTCAAAATATCTGTAACAAATGTTGCCTTTTCAAAAGATATGTATTCAAGTTACGTTTCACAGCAAATAAAAATTGCACAGTAGATGAACACCAATCGGCAAATCACCTTCTTTACGAACAAGACACGGTTTCAATTGTGGTCACTTTTCTGTCTCCTGATGACACGTATGGTGCGTCAAATGAGAAGCACACAGATGAGCTCATTCTCAACTGTCACACGATTCGTGAGTCATGTGAAGCATCGTGAATGTCGTTCATGAAACAGAGTGCGGATGGAACGGGAAAAACCGAACATTAGTGTTTCTTTCTTACAATAAAATACACGCCAAATCATACAACAAAAATGACCTGGTAGTCGCACAGTTAGGCGATTAGGTGCACTGAATAAAAAAAGTAATTTGTTTTGCAGTGGACATAAGCATAAGCTAATAAATACTTTGGCCATCGTTGATAGCCCGCATACATAGTGAGTTTGCAAAACACCATCGTCTTTTGTGCATAAACTCAATGCTAGATAATCCATGAACACATTTCCGGGTGTGATCTACAACATTCGATGGTTTATTTTAAGCTGACGGATAAATCAGTCTGTGCAAACTATGAGTTAAAACCTAAATAAATTTTTCAAATGGTAAGTTTTATAGCGTTTATATGTATGTTCTTGGTAAAGTAAAAGATAAAGGAACTGACAGCAATTTTCTGCCACAGGTCCCTCAAATACCAAACGCCATATAAAGGTATAATTCACGGTTAAATATTCTATACAAATATTGAAGTAATGAACGGCTTGACTCACATAGACCCGCAAATCTTCCTGCCCTGCAGCTTTCAATTCTTTGCCCATAGCAAAGATTTCTGGTTCTTTGAGTAGTTTCATGTTATTCATGATAAACAGAGTACACAGCTGCGCTTTCTAAAAACAAACAAAGACATTTCAAGTGAAAAAACGGACATACGGCGCCTAGTACTTACCAGCGGGTTGAGCACGGTTTTGTCGCTTTCCACAACGGGTGTTCTATCAGTCAGCACGGCTTTGGTTACGCTCACGGTGACGACCAGGAGGAGTAACTTTAGAGTCTGCATTGTGCGAGTCGATTACTGATTAGTAGCAGAACAGATATTCGAGGGTAATAAGAGAAAATTGGAGGATTAATGATGTGATACAAGAAATGACATTCGTCAGAGAACAAGAGAAATACTCACTTAGGAAAACAACGACATAACGTTAGAATCGTCAAAATTTACGGTTTTTGTCGTTGTCTAGCTGCGACTGGCACTCATCGTGCACGACCACACTAGCAATCGAAAACATGATATCACCTAGGGCCGGCATTCTGATTCGATAGCATTTTTGTATATTAACCGAAGTCCGGGAATTGAACAAGTATAATCAATAAAAAAACCAATCGTGCATGACTAAAGTCTCAAGTTTTGCGCCCATATTACTTGAGTCTCTGTCGTACAAACAGCGTGCATCCGCTTAGCGATTGGTCCTTTCGTCCCCTGCCTTATCCGACAGATTCATACAGTAAATCTGTTTCGAATTTCTCAATTTCATGCGTTGAATTCATAGCGCTGAATTTCGACCCTCTTCAAATCATCTGTGAACATCAATCCCAAGAAAAATATCGCGTATAGAAGGACAAAACCAGAATTAAAATAACACTTTGGGTGGAAATTGTTTTCGGGTTACTCACCGGTGTGTCTGTTGAGGCACTAGCTGCACTAGCTGCTGGAATTTGTTTATATATTTTCCGCGCGCAACAACAGAGTTGCTTTCTATATGAATTCAATAGACTTCTAAGCCACATATCGACTGAAAATATCATGAACCATTTCTTTACCAGGTCGCGTTCTATGTATCTGGGTGCATGAGGTCTACAACTTTCAACGAACAGTTTTCTTTAGACATGTTTTTTTTCTAAAAAGCTGCCGTATGAGGTCAATAAGTCAATGACTTTCTGCCAGACTAGATACACGAAACCCCGATGCACAAAAACGTTCAGTACAACATTTATCACTATTTTTAAAATTCAAAATCGAGGTTTTTTTGTGGATAAATGAAACCCTGTTGTACGATAAAGGTGAATGGCTTCTGATATGAGTTTGAGTACTAAAATCCTTATGATTTCACAAATATGAAGGCCCACTATATGGATTTAATTTGTCTGCTATTGGATCCCATGCCCTCCGTTCCGTTTTCTAAGTGCCCTGTTTTTTAGTACATCTGGAATAAGTGTGTCTGTATGTGTGTGTGAGATAAAGTGAGCCCGATCTTGTTCCCAACTTTATTGAAACCTTGATACGATGTTATAAAAGCACTGAGTTTAGTACACGTGGATCATTCAGATCCCACATGATGAGTTCAAAAAGGCAAGCTGTAATGTCACCGCTTCAAGGAAAATTCCTCGTGTGTGTACTCACATTGTAACATGCAGGACTCAACCCACCGCCACTACCAAATTGTAATACAAGGAGACGGATTGATTCCGTGTAGCACGATCCAAGTTTCTGCTCCCAATGAGCTTTTCAGGTAATAAATAAATCTGCTTTGTTTGCAAATTCCATGTATACCTTTTCGCTCAATATGCCGGATGTCTGATTTGTGCACCCAAGTTTGCTATCAGAGTACATTCGACCGTACACAGAGTACGCCATCAGAACCTGGAGCCCGTAGTTAAAAAGTGGTTGTAAGTTACTGCAGCATCCACAAAGGAATGCTACCAAGATGTTCAATGGATTAAGATGCCAAACCTATGAGGACTATATTCTCTTCAGTTCGGCGAAACTCAAGGAGGCTTAATTTTGGCGTAGTAAATATGCAGAATCCAAACTATCCATGTCGGCCGCTGCTCGCGTTGTCGCCTAGCATACACCTAAGGGGACATCGTTTCGAGTTACTGAATTCAAAGTGTTGACTGGAGCACCGGTACCAATCTTTTACATTCAGAGTGTGATATACTTGGAACAACCTTCCATCTTACGTAGTTTGAGCGACAACCGTCGAATTTATCAAGCATATTACACATTCCTATACAACAAAAACGCAAACTTGTTGAAGACTACACTATGTTTTCTTCTATCCGGAACTATATGTGAAACTCTGTGATCTTTTGCTGAGAAGCGATTCAATTCTGAAAATGTTCTATGGAGGAGCACGAGCTTGTAAGTAATTCCCATAATAAAACTTTGGCTTTGACTTTGACTTTGACTCACAATGATTGAAATAGTATTATTTAAATAATAGTGGCTTTGTTTTATCACTTCGATGTTGATCTACCAGAGTCGACCCTCCGTTAGAGTACACTATGTAACGTTTCATGTGGAATCTAAAGCACCACACGAATAGAACGATTCGTTTTGTAAATTTAACGCATTCGTATTGCGGGTACCAATTCTTTGTCATCAAAATGTTTGTTTGATTCATCTTTATTTGCGCCCAAACAATGTATGATTCAGGTTGCCCGCAGATTATGTTTGTCCGATTTTCAGTGTGAAGAGGATCCTGCTAGCGTGACCGATGTGGTAACCCTGTAATCCTTGATCAACCATTCAGTTACCTTCTATGACTGCTTAAAGGTATCCTGTAAATGATCTAATTATTATTCGGGACACCCTGATCGAGGGGTTCAGTCAAATCAAAAAGAATTTCTATTTTGACGTGAACAGGATGACCGGTTCCATTCAACCAACGGAAATCATCAGCGAATCGTACTGATTCTTTTAGCTAGCCCTGCATCGAATTGAGTGAAACGGCCTTTACCTCAGGCAATACATTTCTGACACACCGAACAAGTTTTACTCCAAATTCGAATGCCGCATAGGTACCACTGTTTGCCTCCTCACTAATTCTATCGTAACTAACAGTTCATTCCATTCACTGCGTTTGGCCCATGTGAAACCGGTATGGTTAACTCTGGTGATAATTTGAATAGGCTACGGGATCCAAATGTTTAGGTTTTCTGGTGATAATGTAAAAACCACTGGAGCTCAGAATCCTTTGAGGTTAATTATTTTAGCTTGAGGTTCGGTTGGACTTTAATGCACTAAATACTACTGAAATCCTTATTACGCTACAACGGAGGCAAAATTACACGAGATCCACATTACTACTGATGAGCAACTGTAGTATGAAACAAAAAAGAATTGGGAATAGGCATCATGAGTAGCATTCATGTTATCCTACGAAATCACATGATATCGCATTGTTAAGCCCTCCGTGGTTCTCCAAGGTAATGCCAGATAGGTTTACAAGAAAAAATAAGAAGCCAGTAATTTTTATCAATCATTCAACGAGGGGCATTCACGAATCTTGCGGGTGAAAGATAATATTGTATTGTATTTGTAACTTGTGTAAGCATATATGCTTACATTTCAGTTAAAAATGTACGGTGTTCGTCACGCAGAATGAAATAAAAATAATCAAAACAAACGATAAAGAATTTCAGTGATATAAGTTTCATGTACAAAGTATTTGACGTAGTTGATTTGATACCTGTTCCTTTTTGGTAAGTAGTCGGGCCAGGTAGGGTACAGGGAAATGTTTATTTATGTTAATGAGAGAGGGTAGCTGTCGAAATAAGGAGCGTGTGGACGGATGGGAACGACAAGACGAAAGATCAGGGTGTAGTGGATGAAGAGGGTTATCTAGAATCTTGTGAGCAAATTTAAAACAAGAGTTGATGTGGCCATCAATGATATCCGTGATTAAAAAATCAATTGGGATTAGTGATGCACAATTGATTATCACCAAACCACAGCGAATTGTTTTGAAGTCGTGTTTTAGTGCTGTTTGGATCAATGAATCATCTATCTACTGCGTATTACTTCTTCCATTTAATTTCTCCCATTGGAACGATTGCTACTTTCATGTTCTTATTCCTGCATCTGAGAATAAGAAACTCCAGTATCTGGTTAAAAGAGCGGTTGGAATCCATATCACTCGTCTCCAAGTTTTCTTGGTCAGCTGTGAGTTGCTGTCTATCGTATCGATGCAAGATGCAAGATTCGATGCAAGACTCACCTAAGTACAAGAGTGTGGAACGCCGGTGAAAGCACCGTCTTAGCTCAGTAAAAGTAAGAATAGATAATCCAAATGGGAAACAGCCGACATCCGGTCACACGGCTCTGACTCGAATGGGCTGGCTGTTTGCAACATACAAGAGGACGTTTGATTACGTAGCTTTCAAGCAATGGGAGAAGAAAAGCGTATCAGAGCACATAGTGTTAGATTTCGGTCCTATGGTCTTCACTAGTCAGAAAACCTCAAGCTTGGAGTCACTCGGAATCTGGAGAAGCAAATTTCTTTGCCATAGCACTTTGTAATCATTGGTCTAAAAAGGGTTTAAGGACCAATAAAATCAAAGAGGACACATTAAGACGAACCGAATACTGTGTTGGCAATGTAATTACATTTTTTAGATATGGGGTTTTTCTGAGTCCTACAAATTAATCTCTTTCGATCTCAAGTTCTTGTTAATCACAGATATTTATTTGGGAGGAAAACACGATGAAGTTTAGCCCTCATCGCAACTGAAATAAGCACCAACCCTATTATTCCATTTCATTATGAGCCATCCTGTTATTGATAGACAAGCAACAGTGAGAGAGTGAATTTGATCGCCTCAAAAACGTAAGATGTTATAGAACTGCTGGAATGCTAGATTTGGGTGTCATCTTCTCTTCCTATCTTTATTGTCACCATCCAAACATTTGGTGGCTGAATCAGTATGCTAACCTCAGTGTTGTACACCAATGAGGTCCACCGCATGTCTAAAAGGCTTTTTGCATCAAATTGAATGGCGGACAATACTTTGCATATTTGAACGTCAATGAAGCCTATTTTAAAACACTGATTGAAAAAAGGTTTTGGGAACCATTCACAAACAATACACATAAAATGATTTTTGCGTTGCGAGAGTTAATCTTTAAAAATAAAGATGTAGTTCGCACACGTCTGCATTTCGACTGTTTGAACAAATCACGGTACAACTGGCTTTATAAAAAGAATAACGTTTCGTGATTTAAATGTGAGCGGAATATCCCCTGGTTTCTCAGGCCAACGCAGGTGAATTTTCTTGAGG